CGTAGCTGATGGCCTTCAGTTTAAACTGTGCTTCGTACGCGTGTCTCTTTGCCATTTTCAGGGTTGTTAAAACAACGATGTTCCACATAATGCACATACCTGTTCTTTTATACAGGTATGTGCGATTGTCCCGGTATATACGATCAACGCCCACACTTCACCCTTTAACGTTCTCATGGTGTTCTCTACTACGTCCTCCTTACAACACACAGGGCGCGCCGCACTTTTTGAAGAAAATCTAAGACTTTTAAGTGCGCCTTATGGTCGTGAAAATACGGTACTGAGATTCTCCAAGGCCAAAAGGGGAAAAAAGTTCAAATGCGTTGCCGGATAAGCGCTTTAAATAAAGTTTTATTTTTCACCCACAGGCCCATCGTAGCCACCCAGAGCGACAAGCTGGACCTGCAGGAGTGCTTGGAGCTGGGCAGAAAGGCCACGGTGAGTGACTGAGTCTGCTCCTCGCTGTGATCCGTCCACAGCTGCTCGGCCACATGATCTTCTCATGCTTGTGTTCCAGATGTGTAAGGTGAGGACGATCACCACCAATGCGAACTCCCTGAAACAAGGAAAAAATGTCAACAAGCTTCCCGTCCTCTACAACGGCAAAGAGGACAAACTGTGGATCACGGAGCTGGAAAGGTAGCAGGCTGAAGGGTTGTAACGTCTCTCGTCCACTCGTCTCTAACAGCCTGTGGGCTGATTTCTGTGGATCCACTGAGTTTTTATCTGAGCCACGAGCAGTGTTGTCCTGTTAGATGGGTGGATTATTAAAGGTGTCCTCCTTCCTCCCTGCAGAGTCTTCGGGTTCCCTAAACATTACACCGATGTGCGGGACATGAACCGGCAGCAGCGGCAGAAGGTGCTCGGGAAGGCGTGGTGTGTCCCCGTCGTCCGTCACCTCTTGGCCCCCCTGAAGGACTACTTCACCTGTGAGGACTTATCTCCTCTAACCACAGCTGCCACCACCTCCTCCTCCCCCTCCTCACAGTCCTCCAGTGCCCCTGCAGAGCAGCAGCTGTCGAGTTAGGAGGAGGCGCTACCGTTCAGATGTGGTCATTTGATCAGCGACACAGTGCTGACGTGTCAGTCTGTGCGCAGGTATCTGCGGTTTCTCACCTGAGGACGACGCTGATGGATGAACCTTTCACTGCTGGAGAGATTCAGCAGCACAACAATGTTTTTCAAACTAATTTAAACCTCTTACTACAGTTCAAACGAGCCCTCTGCAGGTTCATTCATTTTAAAATTTGGGTTCAATTAATTCCAGGTGTACTTTCAGGTAATACCACTTCATACCACAAGATGGTGCAGTGAGTAAGCGTAAGCTTCATTGAGTCCTGTGAAAAAGGCCATGAGGACGGGCTGAAAGGAAGTACTGAAAGTGTCAGCACGCTGCCCCCTGGTGGCGAAGGATAATTAGAAAAACGATTTTTAATCATGTTTCTTGTTTCCAGGAGAAGAACAGATTTGTTTTACTTAAACATAAATCAGAGCAAAAGAAAGTTGCTGAATAAATTCAGCGACACTTGAACATGTTGATCCTCTGCAGTGTCTGGGAGCAGGAATCTGACACCTGCGTCTTCGGTTACCTGTGTCAGACACTCTGGCATCAGCGGAGCTGAGGACATGTCAGCTCTTTATTTATCACCTTTTTTACTCCTTTTTTTAAAAAACTATGAAGTCATGCATTTCAAACTCAAACACAGGCCGGGAACCCAGTGTGTGCTCAGCTGTGTTTAGACTCTACCTCCAATAAAATTGTGACGACCTAAAGGCTGAGGTCCTTTGTTACTGTGGTGCTCGTTGATGAACTGTGTGCTTCTGTAATGAAGCTGGAACCAGGTGCTTTCCTTAAATTATGCCTCAATTCTACTGTTGTTGATGTAAATCAGTTAAACTATGAGTGCGACCGTGACACGCGTCACTCTATGTTCTTAATATTTCACACAGGACTGATCTGTGGATGTTTGGTTTGCACTTTTTCAGCTCGTCTCTGACTTCAGTCTCAGGGATTTGAGGCGAGCG